GATTAAGCGGTATAGGTTCAAGGGATAGTTTAAAGGAGATATAGTTTTAAAGAGATAGACTAAATCGGGGGGGGGGGGGGAGCAAGGATAATTTTTAAGGGAGGAATTAAGGGCGGCATGTTTGAGCGATCGACTAAGGTAGATAGGTGTAGAGCGATAGATTAAGAGGAGCTAATTTTAACGAAACAGATTGAGGAGCATAGGCTTAAGGAGATAAGTTAAGGCAGGTTAGGTTAAAAGTCAAAGATTAAAGAAGGGATAATTTGATGGGAATAGATTTAGATGGAGAGATAGTTTTAAACGAATAGATGAAGGAGGTGTAGTATGAAGGAGATTGTTTTAAATAGCTAGATTAAGGGAAAATAGTGTTAAGGGATTGTTTTAAGGAATAGATTAAGACGGAATAGTTTTAAGGTAATAGATTAAGGGGATAGATTAAGGAGGGATAGTGTTAAGGAAATTGTTTTAAGGGATAGATCAAGGAGGGATAGTTTTAACCGGATAGATTAAGGGGAAATGTTATTAAGTGATTTGCTTTAAGGGGTAGATTTATGGGAATAGATTAAGAGGGTAGTTTTAAGGTAATATATTAGGTAGGAATAGTTTTAAGGGGATAGATTTAGCAAGCTAGTAATAGATAAGACAGATGGACAGATTTATGAGGGGTGTCAGACGGATGTAAGATAACATAAAGAGATTGCTGCAAAAGCTTGTTAGATGGCTTAATAGTTAGGAATAGATGAATGGATAGTGCCAACCAATCAGATCGTTGGAGGAAACTACAACTATATGGGAGTGCATGTTCGGTGAGTGTTTGATAAGCTCATTAATAGGTTATTGAATGCAGTAGAAAAATCGTGCCGCAGAACCCTTTTTTTAGAGATGAAAGATGTGGATGTACACGGAACCTTGTTTATACCAAACCTTACAGTGTTTCGATTTTGTTTCAAAATTCGAGACCCCGTATGGTACCTTATTTTTTTCGGTGTTGTGTCATCATATACTGTATATTGAGGGTACTCTTGGGCCATCAACTACTATATACTGGGGTTATCCCCAATATATAGTATATTATGACCCAAGGATACCCACATTATATAGTATATCATGGCCTAAGCATACTCCCAGTATATAGTATATGATGACCAAAGAATACCATCATTATATAGTAGTTGATGACCCAAAGGTAACCCCAATATATAGTATATGATGACCTAATGGTACCCTCAATATATAGTACTTTAAACTTCAACCAATTTAACATTTAAAGTTAAAGTGCCACCCCTAATTTTGTATGATTTCAAATGATTTCGCGTGATTTCAGATGATTTCACGTGATTTCAGGTGATTTCAAGTGATTTCACGTGATTTCAGATGATTTCAGATGATTTCAGATGATTTCAGATGATTTCAGATGATTTCAGATGATTTCAGGTGATTTCAGATGATTTCAGATGATTTCAGGTAATTTCAAGTGATTTCAAGTGATTTCAAATGATTTCAACTTCATTTCAGCTATTGAAATCAGTTTGTTCCCCCTTGAGTCTGACATTAAATATATTATGAAGCAGAAGATCAGATTTGGACAAGTGTATAATGTTTTACTTATCTGTCATTTAAAGCATTAAACCAAACAGACGATAAAACTTCTTCTATGTCTCAATAAACATTTGGAGTAAGGATTTCATAGAATTTAGAATTTTTTAAAATTTCAATACCTAGAAAAAACGCTTATTTTTGAACACAATTATGCAGATGAACTTCAATAAGACCAGGGTATGAGTGTTGGATAGTGTATGTTGTGGGTGTCAGACAGGTGACGATGAAACCAACACCAATCCAACATACTTACACCCGTACCTTAGTACTTCTACGCACTTTTAAGTTGTCTCTCAATAGCACGACGTGTTGGTTCCTTCATCGGATTTATAGCTGTATTTTGAGCTTTAAAGAATGAAGAATGACATCAACGCACAAATCAGTATGGCTATATGTAATAAGCTTACTGCATAGCTTCGACATCTGTGTTAATCTTGGAGAACCCATTTGAATTGCAACTCTAACTAGACAAAATAATGTCAATGACATATTAGATGTATGCTGATATGCATTGAATAATTAAGAATACTTTTTGCAATATGATCATTTTAGAATGCTTTGAATTGCCAAACATCAAACGAATACCATAATTTCGCATAACGTCATAGAACAAGTAGTACTAACAACGTATGGCTTAGATAAACATTGTTAATCTTTCTTCTGCAATTCTAATATCTTTGGTCAATATAAAGTATAGACATTATATTTTATTGTGAAATATAACTGTATAACTGTTTTGTTAATTGATCCGGCATAATAATGGGAGCGTATTTATGAGACAATGTTCGAGTAGAAGATTTTCAAGAGTTCGAGCCTTGAAGCTTGAAAAATTTGTGAAGCGTCTATTTTAAAGTGCGTTGTATTTTCTCTGGCTTCAACTTCGCTAAAAGAATTTTTCGCTGATGACAACATTCACTAATACCGATTTCTTCGAATGAAATCATAATCGAAAACTATTGGATCAAATATAATTCATTCTGTGTCATGTGTTACTATCAATTAATTAATGTATTGCGAAAGCAATTAATTATCAGGGAGTTAGTAACTAACGAGCTTGGTAACCAACTGAATCAGTGAAGATATAAGTTGGTGACTAACTCCGTAGTTAGCAACGTCAGATGATAGTCAACTTAGATGGTTGCTAACGGAGATCACAAGAAGTGCAGATGCGGGTGTCAATCGAATGTAATTATAGGTATGAATGGAAGTGAGATACGAGTTCATGTAAGCTCTGGATTTTCAGTTCTTTGATACTACACTCACACTCAGATGATCACAAAACTCAGATAGTGATTGACTCTTTTAATAGTAGACTAATTAAATATCATCAAAATTTACACATAAAGAGGGTTTCATTTAGGAATGCACCAGTTCCAGTTTTAAAGTGGTAGACTAGACCCAGTCCCTAGTCAGAACTGGAACTTGTGCATTTCACCAAAAAGACAATAATACATAAAATTGTGAGCACTAACCATGTGAACATGTGCAAGGCTGAAACTCGTAAGCGAAATAAAGCTTTCAACAATTACCTGGTTTGTAATTGCAATGAGCTAATCCAATAAAAGGAATTTAGAAAAAAGTACAATACTGGTAAATTATCTATACTACAAAAGAGTGTGAGTGTAGAGAAAGGGGGTGAGGGTAGGATGTGAATATTAGTGGATCTAGGTGTGCCTAAAGAGTTGATCCACTCTTACTCCCACACCGATACCCGTACCTACAGTTTACTATAAACCATCCTATACCCGCACTCATCCACACTCCATATTCACAACCACTCTATACCCCACAGCCGCAGCCAAACTCACACCCACCACACAGCCACATTCACATTCACCACACGCTATACACTCGCATCCACATCCAGAAAAAAACACAGATAACTCTTGAAGCCAATCATCGAATTTTCAGAGCATCTATTGTTTGTGCTCTTTTCACACCGTATTTTAAGCTTTGTCGATTAAACACATCTTTCCTCTAGCTGCACAAATATCTGCCAAAAAAAGCCCAACAATAAAGATAATAATATTTTACTGCCATGTTTCTTTCGTAAGCAATAAATTTTATTGTTACTCTCTTCAAGCTCGCCTCTTCAACAAATGTCAGTAAAATGATTAAGTAATCTATAAAAGGAGACGACTTGTACTGCACTTGCAGCGACTTTTGACTGTTTTAACATTTCACTTCAACTACTAAACGCAATCAAGTCTAAAACGCAACAACAGGTAAGAAATCAATCAGAAAAGAGGAAATCAAGAATCTGTGTATCAGGGGCATCTGGATGTATGTAGGCGTAGGAGTGACGGCTTCACTGTTGATGACAGTGAAGGGAACACTCGTAATCGTAACTCGGCACCGATCCCACAGTCACACTCAGACATCCAAAAGCACAACCATGGGTGTGGATGCTAGTCTTGACTCAACATACACCAGCACCCAGATCCTCATAGCCACAGCCACATCCAATGAGAACGAGACTTGATATCTCTTTTTCAACCACTCATCCGAATCTACAACGTTGTCAAATACTCCTCATAGGTTTTGAATAGATAGACGAGTATCAGTTGATTCTTCTATAGAAGCCAAACTTTATTTTAACATGGTTTTTAAATATTTAAAAGAATGAAAAATTGCGTTCAAATTAAAATATACTCTATGTTTAAGTTTCCATCTTGCTTTCCATGATACACTGATAATGAGAATTTTTGTTTTTATTGTTCTATTTCAGAGTAACAGTACTCGAATCAATGCTAGTAATTTATCAGAAATATAAAGTCAATATGCTGCGTATTCAGATATCTATATCTATTACAATATCTTCATATTCTCTATACCTTCATTTGTCTATAGTAAGAGATGTATCCCTGAGAATTTTAGACAGGCATCCATAACTATCAATCAAAGTTTTCGAGCATCTGTGAAGTTCATTTGCGTACCCTTCAGCGAATCATAACTAACACAGTGTGATTTAGGGACTTTAACGCACATCGATACTCACAATAAAATTGTTTTAGTTCTGAAATAGCACAGTCAGTTTCAATCGAATTTGGATCATATATAGTCAGAGTATAGAATTATGAAAGCGGAAATTTTCGACTCATACAGTTTTTACCTTCATAGGTTATCCAGTTCGTAGTGGAACGGAATCGCTCATATCATTACTCTACTGTGCGTAGTCGGATAGCGACACGGGTTTGTAAGCATCATATATGATTCATACGATTGTAGACGAGCGGTACTCATACCCACACCTACATCCCAACTCCACACAAGGAAAAGTTTCAATAATTACCGAAATTTCAATCTTTTTTTAGTTTTTACAATATAGATATGACGAAATAGATATTAATTTATCAACCCCTACCTCCGACAAGTAGAAGAATGTTTGGTAATTGTAGTAATTACCTAAAAATTTTCATAATTAAGAAAATTCCTATAATTTCTTCATTTTTATAATATAGATACGGTGAGATGGATATTAATTTAATAATCCCTACCCAGAAAAGGAGAAGAACTTTTGGTAATTCCAGTAATTACGGAAATTTTGCAAGTAATTACCAAATTGACGAAAATTCTTCTACTTTTTGGTGTTATGGTGACTTCAAGTCTATATATATTTTAGCATATCTATAGCATAAAAATAAAAAAGACCTATAGAAATTTCAGTAATTTTTGAGAAGTTTCCTTGTGTAAAGTTGATATTCAGAGAAATTATCGGATAATTTCGTTCTATAGTATGAGAAATTATCAAAATTTCCTGAAAAGTTCTTTCCCAATGTAGCGATATTTTCCGAAATTTTTAGTGAAGTTTGTTTGCAAGTATGTGAATAGTTGAAAATTTCCGGGAAATTTCTTGCGATGTGCATGTATATCTTGGAATGATTTCTGATAAATTTTGTGAATTTCGGAAATCTGAACATACCTCAATTTATCGTATTCTACATTTTAATTCTTAATACATTGTATTCAAAGTCTTTTCTTTACAACAATTCATATACATCGATATTCTGTCGAGTATCAATAAAGTACTCAATTCGATATTAATTAGACATATTTACTAACTGTTGTTATGAAGAAGCAATGTTCAATAGAGTAAATTTTTTTCGAATTTTGCGATAGATGAAAATCAAGCGTTTTCTATTGTTCACTTGTTCTTTATAGAAAGTGTCATATCATCAAGTCAAATAACTATTGTAGGCTTCTCTAAGTGACAACAGGGGTATATTTAAAATAAAATCAAATAACGTCGATTGATGGAATTGCATCGAATATAGTTGGAGATAAATATAAAGATCCCGTACAGTTGCTTGCTGGTTTGCCAAATATTCATACACTATCCAGAATGATTCCAGCAAATATTGATCGTGCCACGTGACATAGACAAGTGGACGATGAGCTTCAGAAGCAGCCATCAGTTGTATGATTGCTATTGAAAACAAATCATACGATCTTCTCAAAGTCTATTGATAAATTATACCTTTGAGTTGTTTATCACCATTAAATGCACCACAGCCCCAATTTCCAGTAGCAACACCGAACATAAACTTTTCCATTGATTTTGGAATACGAAAACATGTAAAAGCTTTAATTAATTCTCGTCTCATATTCTCAAAAATATACTGATCGAGAGGATTCATACAATAAATTGCATCCATAGCTACGACATGAGATAATTTTCGACCCCAGCTATCTCTTAATAAAGACAAGCATATCATCATTACGAATACGGTAAAAATTGACCTGTAACCAAGGGGGAAAAAGCGAGACTTCGTACTTCTGAAGTACGAAGTCTCGCTTTTCCCCCCTTGCCTGTAACTCACTTAGGTGTTTTATCGATAAAGTTGTCTTTAAATTTGAATGTAGTTGCATAACCACTATAACTTACAAATTGCTCACAACCAATTAATAAGATACATTCATGAGGTAGCATTACTTCACAAAGAAGTACACTAACAAGCATTTCCGTACAAATAGTAAATCGTATTTCTTCTTGAACAATACCTTCGTTCATTACACCACCACCCTGTAAACTTTTTCATCAATTCTTAAATTTAAAAAAAAGAAAGTTTCTTTTAACTGACGATGAATTCGTTGGCGAAATCAACTTGTAAAAAGCCATGCATATCTTCAATAGTTTGATCTTTCCTCATATGAATTTTACAAAGTGGTGTTTGTGACTCAGTCCATTTCGGTATCCATTCATTGGGTAATGCAAAGCGTCGAAAAGTAAGAACACCTTTTGGCACTAGTTACAGAATATTGAAATAAAATTGAAAAACAATGATGAAACAATAATTGCTACATATTATCTTCGCTGATTCGCTGAAAATAGTGTAAAATACATTTGAGCTTTTCGATTTTCCATGGTGATCCACTTTGTAAAAGACTTTGATCAAAAAAGGTAAGAGTTTTCTTAGAAAAAAAACATCTATATTTGTTCTTACTAAATAAAATTTAAACTTTGATAAGTATGATGTTTGTTGCCTATTTTCCTATTAAACTGATTGGGGAAAAGACAAAAAAAACCACAAGCCAATAAAGAACCCACCTGTCGTTGTAACATAGTTACGCTACCATTTTTTTCAATATGTAATAACGGTGGTGACTAGTAAGAAAAGTACATGTAAATTATCAAAAGACAAATAGATTTTTAAAATATAAACCTGGCTGCAAACGTAACCAACTTCAAGAGCGAGGGAAATCATATTTGGAAGAATGAAGGACATGAAGTAAGCTCGCTGATCAGCAGAATAGGCCTAATAATAATAGAAATATTTGTGGAGCTTGAGTAAATGCGTATGGGCGTATCTGATATTACTTGATTAAGAACCTGTTCAAGGCAGCCTATTTTAAAGCTAGTTTCATTACTCTCCTCTATTGCTAGCTAAAAATATGCATATTTATCTTCAAATAAAAACGAAAACTATACGATCATCTCACTTTGATGTCATTGACAGTAGCTATTTTCTCATCACATTTTTGCTTAAGTTGTGTCAAAGCATTTTGAATAATCGGCCATCTGAGTCTCCCATCGTTCTATAAACAAAAGCTTCATATCTGTTTAAAAATGTTCTGGGTTCAAGTTCACTGTTAAATTAAAAAGAGAACATGGTAAGCGAACATGATTGTCATCCCATATATCATGATAATTGTTCATTCCGTGAAGTGGTTCTGGTTCACGATCTGGATTCAATGAATCATATTTGAATGGCTGTTTGAAAAGAAAATTTTAATTCTTTTGTAATCGATAGTTTTGCATAGTTCGCTGTACCTTGATCATAAACGTGTGACCAACATCATGAATATCATGCATGTCGCTTAGAATGGGAGGTGTTTGGAAGAGATTGGGGATATCAGTCAACGGCATACCCTTGAGAAGAATGGAGCTGTTGGAAAAAAATTCAAATTTCATAAAACTTACATAGAACATCTTATCCGTAGTATCGTTCATTTGAGGTTGTTCATCGGCCATGTTCAAATGTGAACTTCCAGAGACGAAAATGTATACGTGTGAAATGATTCTTAATATCTTCACAGTTCACAAAACGCGCAAGAAGTATATAAATAGAGTTACAAATTGATATCAAAATAGATGAATGTAAAATTCTATAAAAAAGAATCGGGATAGATTCTTTTTTTTTATTTTAATCGCTTTTAAAACGACATTCGGTAGTAAAACAATTCATTTCAAAACCATTTTGAATCACGGATTCCTGAAAACGTATAAATATTGTTGACATAGTGAAGATTTCGAAGGGAACAGCACTTAAAACTTTTCAAGTCGTTGATACTTCTTTGTTCTTGCGAAAGCTAATATTACGAAAAATGCGCACAACTATTTAAAAATGACTTAGATTACAACTTACTTCCTTTCTTTTTCTTTTTTTCTCTGTCAGTATAAAAAGAAACAATTGAAACGATGTCTGTGGATAATATTTTATTTTTAGAAATGCAGTTCCGTTTTTTTCCCAGATAAAATAAGAACCTCTATATACACAATTTTTCAGTGGATTTGTATGCAAAGGCCTTAGAAAATCACCATTTTATTCAATATTTTATCTTAAAGAGACATATTTCTTCGTACTACCTACGAAGAAATACGATCATGATACGGCAAAATAAGGGGTGTATATGGATTTGTTATGCGTAATCTACAGTGAATCAGAGAGTTTCAGAGAGGTCACATAGAGATACTAATAATGTGCAATCTGCTTTTTACTCAGTTAATTACAGTATACAATATTCTCATCTTCTTCGGTAGATATTGTTTGTATCTACTCTGGGCAAAATAATTCGGTAAATGGTATATTTTTTCAGGTGTAAGGAAGATATACTCATCTTTTAGGGTTTTAGTGATTCCTGAAGGTTAAAAAAAGACTCGTTGACTAGCTTACTGTTCTTCTGCTGTTCTTTTGAAAACAGAATGCAGTTAAAGAGAACACATGTCATCACATGGTTTTATCGGCGTCGAAAAAAAAATGAGAACAGTAAGAAGTCGAAGAAAAAAACTACCGTTTTGCAGTAAGAATTTTACCCACGCTAAATAAATATGCAGCATCATCGACACTTGAATAACACAAGGTGAAATCATTATGAAAGTTGCTCTTGCCTAAAACACTGCCGTCGATACGATGGTGTATCGAATGTGGGTTAATAAAAAGAAAATCAGTACTCAAACCCAAACCCACACCTTTTACTCGAAATTCTGTCGTATTTAACATCTATGAAAAACCTATATTCATTTTTCGATTCTCATGCCAAACTTTGTTGTAACAATTCACTTCGTGAATGTCGATATTTAATTGATACTCATCATTTAACAATGTTTTTTGAAAACAAAAACATTTTGTTATTTTTGTATAAATGTAGCGGGTGGTGCATAAAGACTGGGGCACTTATATTTTCTTTTTTTTGAAGAACAATATGATAGTGTAAAGATGAGTATGGATGTCGTTTGAATAGAAACATATACTCCACTCACACTCACAACCACATCTACCCTTTCCTTCATTCACCTTCGCAACACAATAGATCTACACCCACACTCTCATGTGTGTAAAAAAGATATTTGTGATTCTTGTCATATTCATAGTGAAAGATGTTTGTAACATGAAGTGCATTTAGCCAACAGTTATTGAAGAATTGACTATTTCCAGTAATACCACTATCGATAAGCGAGAATTAGTAAGCGACATGCTTGTATAGCTTGACTGAATGATGTTCACTGTCGGTTCGATCAATTAGCGCACTGATATGATACGCTGATCATTGCTGAACAACATTTTCCTGTGTTAAACGAAATTATTATACAAAGCAGGAAATGAATGAAAGTCTTCTCTTCACCCACATCCAAATTGTATCCAATGGAGAGCTTTTTCTATTATTCTAATACTACAAGTTCGATTGAATGGTTCACAAGAATCATGAGAACTGATGAATAGTTATTTCATCAAGCTCCTGTGGCGTAAGGGTAAACGCATCCGGCTTTGAACCGGAAGATAGATGGTTCGAATCCATCAAGGAGCTTTTCTCTTTCCTTTTTATTTCTTTTTCTGCACAAGATTCTCGAAATATAATTATGTAATACTTGCGACAGAGAATGAAAGAAATGTATATTTATATACAATCTCTGACAACCATTTTTTTAACGATTTTCTTTTAGGTATTACTTTCCTATAAAGTCAACGTTGGACATACGGTTTGTGCAAGGGGGAAATGGCTGAGTTCTTTTGTTTTTAGCCAATTTTAAACAAAAAACATCAGTTTAATTAGAAAAATAAAAAAACGTGTGGGTGCGGGGTAGGTGTGGTTGCGGGAGTGTGGAGATGTGGGTGTGACTATTCTCGATACATATTCAGCCCCACCTACACCCATTCTCACCCAAATACTCTTCAATCTGAATACTCGTGTCAATACGACCATCACAGATTATTGTTGTGATTTGTATCTCACAGGTTATGTCTATCGTAAATTTTACCATGTCGTTTCACATATCTGCCTTAAATCGACTCAGGGGTTCGATAGATTTTACTGAATGGTCACTAGGAAATGATCATATCATCCAGAAGTTTTGCTGTGCTATTTGGTTCGTTCTTAGTGTCGATGTTTCCACGATTGCGAAAAGTGACGCTCAAATGATTCACCGGTGAGAGACTATTATCACTCATTGAAACTTTTGTAGATCTTCTGGAGCTCGTTGAATTGGATATTATATTCCTGAAAGGTGGAGCTAAAGGTATCTTGCTATCAAAAATTCTTGCTATGAATAACAATCAGTTAGTGTTGGTATCCTTCAATCAAGGGTCGGTGTGTGGGTGTGTGGGTGTTTTTTTCTTCATCACATAAATATCCACATCCACATTCCACAGCCACAGCCACACCATCATCCGACATCGACTACAGGTGGGGATATATTAGTGCGTTTATCTTCTAATTCGAGCAGTAATGGAACTTGTTTTGATCTTCTTATTTTTACAAGCACCGGAAGGTATGGATGTGAGTGTAGGTAGGTGTGCATGTAAATGTGGCTATGCGTCAATGCATACATAAAGTAAAGAGTACCAGACACATCGGTATTAAGAACAGGATTCTATACAGTGAATGGATGAAAAATTCATTCGTGAAGAAATAGAAGAATGAAGAAATATAGATGACTCCAATGATCATTAGAAAAATTTTCGGTTTCAACGGTCTCGAACTCGATTCCATTTTCTTTCTTTTTTACGGTTCGAACTTCAGTTTCAGGTACAAGAAATTAAAATATTCCAGTTCTGATTTGATTTTCTGTTTCATTTTTTGGAACCATCAGACTACTAAGGACAAACCAGATCAACAAAGAAAAATAACATTTTAGTCAAATTAACGGCACACATTAGACACATCGTCGACAGGATAAAATTTTCTCTTATACGACAAATGGAACTCTATATATACATATCTATTTTAAATATACATTCTTCATAATTCTATATTATCTGTTTTTTTTCATTGAAAAATTATTCTCAATTTTGACAATAAAGACTTATAACAACTTCATCATCCTTTAAATTACTAGCAATCTATAAGATTCAATAAGCCTAATCACACTTACACACTCAAGTCAAAACTACCCTATGGGATCCTTAAGGAAGGTTGAATTACGTCGTAGTTTGCTCGACACACAAATATCCACATTGAAAAAGAAAGAGTCTATTTCTCTTTCAGTTTTTCACATCCATTTGATTTCGTTTTGCCCATATCAACCCCAAGAGATTGCTTACCTGGAAGGTTTCAGATAAACACAACCTTATAATGTCTTGAAAGGGAGTGTTTTTTTAAAAACAGAGAAGCAAATACATTTATTGACAAAGAAACCATCGATTTTACAGTACAGGACGCTAATGTGTTTGCAGAGGCCTACTATAAAAGAGAGATTTTGAAAAGATGAGTGAATTACTTCCTATTCATTTTGCTGCTGGTAAGTTGAGGCTACGGCAACGAGGTTGAAAGAGGATATCTTTATTGAACTTGAGAGATGGTGGCTCGTTCAGAACGAGAAAGAATTGAAGACGGTTGTCCGGTAGCAAGCGACGAAATTATACTCTTTTTGGTCTAGATCTCGTAGCATTCTTCGTAAATACTCACAAAAACGTGCCTATTTCTCTTCAAAAACTTTTCGTTTTTGTAATTTGATGAATTTGTTCGAGTATTTTATGACTAAAGCATTATTCTAACCTATATATCGTTACTTCTTCAGTTATCATTATCACGTGAAGTCTCTTCTTTGCTTGAACTGATGTTTATGACGTTTGAGAATTGTCTTCTGAACTTATCGAAAGACAACAGGATTTCTATGGACTAACAACGAGATTGTGACTCAGTCCAA